TTTGCTGTCTCTCACCAAAGTCAGCTTGGATAGAGCATAGGCTCCGAATTGGTCAGAAGTGATACTGTAACTAATTGTATACCTTCATTGAAGAAACACTTGAAGAATTAACTTGTCTGGGGGTCTCCCACTCTTTCTAGGTAGGTTTTCTTTGCATCCCGGGAGCTCTGGTGGTGTAGTGCCTAAGGCATTTTGACTGCTAACCAGAAGGTTGGTGGTTCAAACCACCAGCCACTCCTCAGAAGGAAGGTTGGGCAATCTACTTCCGTAGTGATATCGCTTCAGAAACCCAAGGAGGGGTCGCTGTGAGTCCGATCCAACTTGAGGGCAAAGCGTTTTGTTTTTCCTTTGCATCTCAGTTACCAAGGATTTAAACACCTTATTTTTGTCCTCCCTCTTCTCCCTACCCACTTATCCTCTAGGAATAATATTCTTGATCCAGTCTATAGATCCAGGGGTTCTAGAATGTTTAACTATGTCACTTAGGCAAAAGATTTTGAGTTGCATTTTGGAAAAAAATAGAAATCAAATATAGAGGTTCTGCAAGATTTTTAAGATATAAATATCAAGGATACTATTTGCCATGGGGCAGTGGCATGGAATAAAACCTTAAGGTGGAGAATTTTACACAGAATTCTGATATGCAGGATAATGGTTAAAAAAGGTTTTTAGCGTGAGCTGAGGCAGACTGAAGGTGTCAGCAAGAAAAAAGGTAAATGCCAGTGGATTCATGACGATGATTTATTGGAAAATAGAATAAAAATGACAGAAATCATATTTAGCCATGACATAAACAGGTAAGTCTAAATATGAAGAGGACAAGGAAGAGATGAGGATGAGTTCAAAACCGTACTTCATCAGGCGCTGCTTAGAGTGGTTACGTGGGAGAACAGCCGGAACCGGCCATCAGTGACGTGACAACAGAAAAGTGGAGGAACCGTGCTGAGAAAATCATCCTTCAGGCAACTAATGTTACCGTTCTATTAAAGACACCTGATAGGTTTTAAAGGTGCCCAGGTGGCGCAGTGGTTCCATGCTCACCTGCTAACCGAAAGGTCGGCAGTTTGAACCCACCAGCTGCTCCACAGGAGAAAAATGTGGCAGGCGGTCTGCTCCTATAAAGATTTGCAGCCTTGGAAACCTTGTGGGACAGTTCCACTCTGTCCTATAGGGTCACTGCGAGTTGGCATTGACTGCCAGCAGGGGGCTGGGTTTGGTATGTTTTAAATTAGAATAGCACGTTGGTGATACACACATTATTGTTTATTTTCCACTTTGAGTTTTTCTACTGACTGGTGATTCCCTCAGACAAACCTCTTCAGGATTGTGGACTGTTACGCTCACTGCTGCTGAAGCCTTGTGCTTGAGTCACTTGAGGAAGTCATTGAAAGCAGAGGATTGTTTTTATTATTACTGTGATTGGGGTGAGAGTTTACAAAACGTATTCATTTTCTGTACAGCAATTCATACATATTTTGTTTCATGATGTTGACTGCAATTTCCCCATAATGTAACAGCTCTCTTCCCACTTCCTCCCTGTGGTTACCTCTTCCCTGTGCCCTTCTTTCCTATGTATTCCTGTCCTCTGAGCTGTCTCCCTGTGCAAATACTGCCCTTCTGATCTCCCATGACTGACTGTTCTAAGGAGTGTACCTACCTGGCATAAATATTCACCTTACATTCCAGTCTGTTGTTTGGCTGGAAGCCACAGGAGTGAGTTCAGTTCCAGGCCTAAAGGGTGACTAGGGGCCATAGTCTGAGTGTTTTCACCAGTTTCTGTCAGACCAGTAAGCCTTGTCTTTTTTATGATTTTGAGTTTTGTTCCACATGATTCTCCCACTCTATCCAGGGTCTCCAAAAGCAGAGAATTATTTTTCAAGTTCATGTCTTAAGCATCTTTGTATGTTCAAACATGTAACTTCCATTCACACATGGACTATTTGTTAATACAGGGCCATTTTTATTGTCTGATTACAGTTTCCTGGGCCTTTTTTGCGTTAACCACACTGTCTGAATTTCCAGTATATCTATCTCTTCCTTTATATTCTTCCTGGAATGAGAATACAAACATTTGCAAAAACTACCTGTAGTTCACGATCCTTCTAGACTCTTACTATTTCTTTCTTTTTTAATAGCTGCCTTGCCCACACCCATTCAGCAGCTTGTTGTTTTGTTTTGAGTGACCCACTTTTATTTGGGTCCCTGCAAAGCACTCACTTGAGTTTTCATAGAAGCGTTTCCTTTCTTTTTTCTGCAGTTACGTTTCAACACTTTGCATTCTGTATATTTGATTGAATTTCTGAGTGAGGATTGGTGGGAGCAGAAAGATTAGACATACGGGTGAGTGGACACCTAGCTTAGAGTACACCATATGTTATGGGCACCTCTTGGTGTATCGCAGAGGGCGTGGAGAGCTGGGGTCAGTCTGACTAGCTGGTAAATGAAGATACGAGCTGGCCTCTCCCATGTTCTTGGGGGATTATGACTTCTGTCTTGGCACGTACCCCACATAGCTGCCTACAGAACAAACAGCATTAGTCACCGACCTCCCCCAGTGACTTTTGAAGTGTTGCTTCCATCTGAAGTCCCCGTGTTTTCACAGGCTTCTCACTGTGCCTCAGTTTTGGCTTCTCTTGGGGGTAGCCTCTGGGTGGGGGGAGGTTCCCCAAGGGGAATTTCCTATGTGCCTGTTGGTATTTTACTCAGATCATCTAAAATATGTCTTCCAAGTTTAGGGATTGGTGACAGAAACCTAGTTTTATTTGTAGAAATGATTATTAAGCTGGGCTACCATAGGGAAGGGAGCTCTGGTGGCGTAGTGCCTAAGGCACTTGACTGCTAACCAGAAGGCTGGCGGTTCAAACCCACCAGCTACTTCTCAGAAGAAAGGTTGGGCAATCTGCTTCCATAGTGATACCACCTCGGAAACCCAAGGAGGGGTCGCTATGAGTCGGATCCGACTCGACGGCAGTGAGTTTGTTTTTCTTTTGTACAATAGAGAAAAGGAAAGATGAGGAAGGTGAACAGTGCGGAACCATATGAGATAAACATGGTGAAGTCCTCTAGTCAGGCTAGAAGATTCTGTCTGTAGTGCTAAGTGGCAGACCATTCTGGATCTCCTGGGTTTGTAGCTCTTATTTTAGCCGAAGACATTTCTGGAAAATTGCCTTTAACATAGAAAACTAGTAAGAGGTAGCAGGTCTCCTAACGTGTTGATCTTTCTGTTTTTATAACAGACCTATTCATTAAAGATTGGCTAAATCTAGGTACCCACAAAGAAATTATAGAACCCGTAGGGACAAAACACACCTCAGGGATCAGAAACAGAAGGAAAGAATGATTTATAGGATTTGTGTGTGTGTGTCATTTCAGTTTTTTAAATGTGTTTTCCAGGAGTTTTTTTTTTTTTTTTTTTTAATAATCTGTTGAGGAGATGTGTTATACCAGTTGGCTTGAGCTGGTTGTGGCTCATGGCGCCCCCTGTGTTTCAGAGTAGAACTGCACTCCGCAGGGTGTTGAGTGGCTGTGCTCTTGCCGGCGGGGATCGCCAGGCCTTTCTTCCCAGCCACCTCTGGATTGACTGGAACCTTCAGTCGTTCAGTTAGTAGCCGGTGCTCACCCACCCAGCCAGCGCGTTTTCAGTAATGTTATTAATCCTGAGCCCACTTGGCCTGTGGCCCTCGGGACTGAGCTCTGTTGGGACCCTTCTGGAACCTGGGAGGCCCCAGCCTTCACCTGGCCTTGGCCTTGGCGTCCCTTCCTGGTCCATCTGACCCCAGCCGGGTCCTGCAGCGGCTAGTGAGCTCGCTCCCCACCTGGGGAGGCCTGGACGGGACAGGAGTCTCCCGCTCACAAGACCCGCTGAATCACCCTCTCCATGTTCTCTCTCCCTCTCCCCCTGTAGGAAATGTGACTGGAAACAGTAACTCCACGTTCATTTCCAGCGGGCAGGTCATGAATTTCAAGGGTGACATCATCGTGGTCTACGTCAGCCAGACGTCGCAGGAGGGCGTCGCAGGCGGTGGCGGCGGGGACCCGGCCGAGCCGGCGGGCCGCCCGGTGCAGGAGGAGAGCTCCGTGCGCTGCGACACGTTTGCAGGCAGCGGGGCGCGCCTGGTCGACAAGAGCGACGGGAGTGCGGACCCGGAGGCAGCGGCGCCGGTGCAGGAGCAGGGCCCGCCCGCGCCCCGCGCGCCCCGGGCCTGGCGCTGAGCCGCCTGCTTCCCCAGGGCTGGGCCCGGCCACAGCCCACGGCGGCAGGTCACCCCAGAGCCCAGCCTTCCCACCTGGAGGCGCTGGAGCAGGAAGTGGGGCTCCGTGACCCGCGAGCTCCCCAGCGGGCCTTCCACGTGTGCCGTGGAAATGAGCACGCGTTCCAGGCTCAAGTGCAACCCAGCTCCCAAGACCGAGGGGTTAAGTGGGCCCGCACTGCAGGGAGCCAGCGACTGGTGGACTTCACAGCGTGGAGTCAGATTTCCGGGGAGGAACCTTTTCCTTCCTCCTGAGACCTTGCAGGGGTTTCCATTTGGCTGGTCCCAAATCTGTTACCTTGCTCCCCTGTTTATCCGGTACCTTTATGCAAAAGTGCAGGCCCTTCTTTACCTACCATGCTCTTCAGAGAAACAGTTTTTGAAAGTGAATTTATTATTCCTAGCCACTGATCTCCATAACCAGGTATCCACTAATGCACAGGTACAGGAAATGCACTGGAAAGCGGCAGTAGCCTCGCCAGTGTCCCCCATTCCTAGGTCTGTCTGCAGGTCGAATTTGTGTGTAAGTGGGAACAGTTCGTATCTAATGTCAGTCACATGTTTGTCTTAGTATATAACGTACCTTTCTGTGTATAAAAGATATTAAAGAAACACTTCAGACACACTAAAACATTTTAACATAATCCAGTACTAATAGCAATGTTTTGATGCATGTTGCAAAGCAGTGCTTGTTCGTTATTACGAACCATTGTATGCACCTCAGATTTTTAATATTCTAATAGGTTTTATGGGGCTTGGTTGGTAACTCAGGTTGTATATGTCAGACATTTGTAACCTGGGATGGGAACTGCCTGCATATATTTCTCTCTTTTGTCCTCCGTGTTTTATTTTCTCTTAGGGTTTTGCTGCTTTGCTGCCCAACGTCATTTTGTCAGTCATTTGTCTCTTGATGACATCTTTTTCGTAGGGGAGGGGGCTGGTGAAAATGTACACAGCCCTACACCATTTCAACCATCCAGCATGTACAGCTCAGTGGCGTTGGTTACATTTTCCAAGTTGGGCAAACATTCTTGCCATCTTTCTCCAAGTGGTTCCACAACCACTGACTTAAAAGTCACTGTCCCCAAAGCTACCAAACCTTTTGAGTTGCTGTTGTCAATTTGACTCACATACATAAATCTTTGAAGGATCCCATTGCTCAAGGCAGACACACTTATAAACTATTGTTTTGGCTCAATAAGACTTCAGGAGATAGTTTTAATTTTAAGGTTTAAAGATTATCTCAAGACAGTAGTGCGGGGGTTCATCCACCCCTACTGGTTCCAGAAAGCATGGCATTTGTGCTTCTAACTAGTTTGCTCTGTTTGGATCTGTATTATTTGTCTGTATTTGTATTTCACGTTCTCTCGGAACATTTTCTTGATGCTTTTTTTTCCTTTCACTCTTTTGACTGTAAGGTTTTCACGAACATTCTCCCAGGGGTGTTAACCTTCCTTAATCTTTCTTTGCACTCCTTTCCACACAGGTAGGTGTCTGTGTTTAGCTGGTGGCTTTCTGAAGTGTATATGTTTAGTAAGCACTTTTAGAAAAAGGCTAGAAATGTGAAAACCTGGAAGGAAGGGGCTTTTATTTTCTGAAAATTTTGCCATGTTCTCATTTTTCTAAAAGAAGGAAAAAAGAGAAACCCCAAACATTAAGTTTTTAATGTTTTATGTTTGTGTTGGTCCTTAAGCAGAACTAAGATGCAGTTAGTGTCCTTGCTCTGCACTGTCCCAAGAGAAATTTGAATGGGGATGAACTTATTTATTCACCCTGGAAGAAGCAGTTGGGTGCTTTGCTGGTGAAATATCTGAAACACCCCACTGTTCAGTTTGGTGTTCTTATCCTTGAGGTTTCTCTGGAAAAGAGTGGACAATTCATAGGACACGTGTGTAGCCTGCACACGGTGTGGAAAGGAGGTGCCAGGGTGGTTCAAGAAAGAAAGAATATGGTTGAAATTTATGTACATTTCCTTTTTCTGGGTAAGAATGGTGTGAATGTGTTCAGGCAATTGGCCCGTCTTCCTTCCTGAGTAACTATGTGTCTGTGATTCAGCCTTGTAGAAGTGGAAAACATTACTGCCATTTTCCAGTGCATTTAAATCAAAAACCAAATCTTCCTCTTTTGATATGAGACAACATAGCCTGGAGGTCCTTTTCTCTTGGCCCCAGTCTCATGAGAAAGCACGGAGTGGGAGTCAGATGGAAAGGCCTGTCTCACCTGTTGTGCCCAGCGGGCGCTTGTCCTCACATACCCTGTGGAGAAAAGTTAAGATACCTAAGCTAATTAAAATTAATTTTGTGGATCTGGTTGGTTGTAAGAGTGCTACTCATGGCCACTGTCCAAGACTATAGTGGCCACAAATGCCCCACTGAAAGGAATGACCATTGGTCTTTGGTTTCCCCCTTCTGGTCGCAGTTCTGAACCTGCTGAAATGGTAACGTTTGATTTGGTTTTTAATGGAGAAGCAGAGGTCAGCTCTATGATTTATGGCACTCCTGAGCTCACGTGAAAAACTGCAGGAAGTAACTGCATGGTGAGGAAGCTCAGTTGGTGGGAATTGACTGTTCTGCCCTTTTAGTTAATTATGTCCATCCAAAGAGAGATGTTGAAATCAAAAGAAAACATTGTATCTTTTAATGTGGACTATATTAACATGTAGTGCATACACTAGAAAGCTGAGCAAAAAGCCCAAGTTTCTATTGTGACACCAGCATCATGTCATTGATGACAATACTGTCCCGTTAGTCTCCTGTTGACCTGCAGGATGACACTCTATGTTCTGTGCTTTTCTTTTTTCCTATAGAAAGTCACTAATTCTCATTTTTACCAGTGCCCTTACCTAATGACACCAAAAAGACACCAGAGTGAATGCTAAGAACGTACTTTGAGCTCCTTAAGGTGCTATAGAAATACATATGAATCTGCTTCCAGAAAAAGGTGGTATTCTTTTCCACACTGATTCCTATTAATTGCATATTGATCCCAAAATAGTTAAATGATAGCATATGAATAGCTGTCCCTGTGCATTGTAGAGATGTATGTGACAAATGTAACAGAATTAAATGAAGACAGTAATGAAAAATGGTTTGAAAGGTGATAAAAAAAATTATTAAACGTATATTTGATCAAAAGGATTTTTTTTATGGCTTGCTAAAACAAGGCTCCTTATAAAATAATGATCAGATTCATTCTGATCTCTATGGTATATTGTAGGAGCTCTGGTAGCATAGTGCCTAAGGCACTTGATTACTAACCAGAAGGCTGGCGGTTCAAACCCACCAGCCACTCCTCGGAAGGAAGGTTGGGCAATCTACTTCCGTAGTGATGCTGCCTCGGAAACCCAAGGAGGGGTCACTATGAGTCAGGTCCAACTCGACGGCACATAACAACAACAACAAGAACATGGTATATTGTAGTGTCAGCTATTGGTCGTATTATGTCTTCATTTTGGTGTTTGACAACAATGTTGGCACATCAAATACTTTGCTTCAAAGATATATTTACTGTTGATTTTATAAGAGAATTCTTTAAAATGCCCAGTGAAAGAATTGAAGTGGAAATGGAGCCTACAGTTGCGTACCCACGTTTAACCTAGCCACCAGAAGGAAGAATGCATTTCTCCATCTTCCTATAAGTTTGGAGTCACTGGTTGACACAGATGGTTTAGTGCTCATCTACTGGCCAAAGGTTGGCAGTTCAAACCTACCCAGAGGCACCTTGGGTGACAGGCCTGGCAATGTGTTTCCAAAAGGTCATAGTATTGAAAGCTCCATAGAGCCATTCTACTCTGCACACATGGGGTCACCATGATTTGGAATTCATGGCTACTGACCACAGCAACCCACAAGGTTAAACAGCAGTGTGAATGTGATGTGTTAGAACTTCATATGCTGGGGGTGGGGAGCTCTTGTGTAACAGACTTCTCCAAACCATTAATTTCTGTCACAGTTCTGTGATTTGGTTCAACTTGGGTGGTTCTTCAGGCCTGGATTGAGCCCAGCTGGGTGTGGTTGGTTTGCGGGGAGTTGGCTGGGCTATTCTGGACTTTCTCCATGTGGTGTCTAGTTGACTATGCTGGTGGGCATACTACTGCCTTGCAACTACTAATGCCTTGTCAGAAAGAAGGTAGAGACCTCAGATTGGTTATTGGGCATAGGCAGCCAAACCCAGGGGTGCAGTAAGAGGCCACAAGGCAATGGAGACTCTGGTCTGACACCCTCTCAGCAGCCCGGCTAAGGAACTGCCTCCCTTGGGAAAACACCCCCAGGGTCCACAAGGTTTGAGCAAGGAGGAGCATTGACTGCATTTCCAGATGAGGTGGACACCTATATGGCACAGGTGACTTGCCCTGAGGCCCCCGTGGCCCCTCATGGTCCTTGTAATTCTGGCGTTGGCCTTCTCCCTGCCCCTCTCCACTCTACAGTTATCTTGACGTCAGGGTGACTGGAAGCCTTTGCTGGGGTCACATCTCTCTCGACTGCCTCTAGTAAAACAGACTTGAAAGGGCATTTTCAAATAATCTTCGTTCTAGAATAAGATTATAAGTAGCAGAAAAGTTCAAATTACAGACTCAGGTCTCTCACAGTAACTCCATTCTGGTCACAAGAGGTTGGTAGAATGACTCAGACCGCTGCGTAGTGGGATGAGCAGGAGTGTCACAATCAGACCCACATTCAGAATTTGGCCCTGCCACTTACTCCCTGCCCTTGTGCAGTTGCTTCACTTCCCAGCCGTTTCCCACATCTGTAAAGATTTAGTCCGTAGGGCTTGTGTGAGGATTATCTGGGACAACGCACACCCAAGCCCCGGAAGAATTCCCAGAAAATGCCAGTAGTAGAAACCCAATCTGTCTCTCACGCCTTCCTGCTCATGTCCGGTGGGTGGGGACATTTCCATCCCGGACCTCAGGTTCCCTTCAAACTACATGACTGACCTAAGTCTGCCACCCACCTAGGACAC